CTGTTGGCTGGCGAGGGGCAGGCCAGCAAACACGCTGACTTGCCAACAATTACGACGATCGAAAGGGGAGAAAATGTCAGGCCAGTCCACCAGCGGTCAATATTGGAGACGTCAACAATAATCAACACTTAGCAGGCAGGTAACATGCAGGCGTCAGAGGTGACGCAGTCATGGCTAGCAGAAATAACCACAAATCCCCTCCGATGATGGAACCGATAGTGTTTCCGAAACGTCAGTCTAGGTCCTGTATCGGTGAAAAGGAAAAGTTAGTTGGACCTTAAATCTTCAGGTATATGACTATTATTTTTATCCCTTTTACCTCATTTATACATAGAAAGAGAGTTATCAACGCTATAAAGAATGCTAACTTTGGTGGACGGAATATGCTCTCCTTAGATGCATCATCACTACTTACCAACTTGCGCAGGGTAGAAAACACGAAATACATCTGTGCCGTTATTCGCCACACCAAATACCTGTTTATAAGTGGCTGATTATACAAAGGCTCTTCTTTCTTTCATTGCCTACATGGCGCGGTCAGCAGACTGTCAATCTTAAATCTACAGAGCCTAGAGAAGTTGTTTGTTTTAAGTGGACTCTGGTTAAATATTGTCAACTTTAGTTAAGAAAGGCTCCAAAAGCAAAGGTCCCTTAACAGGGGCCCCTCTTGATAGAAAATGAAATAGACACATTTTTCATATCACTATCCGTTGTTGGTTTGTTGGTTTGTATGCCCGCCAAAATAGAAAATGAACAAAGTATGTAACAGCGCATTTTCTAGCCAATGCCAATTTTAACCACAATGCCGTTACCGGTCAAAGACAGCTGACACAACTGAGAATTTTACTGGAACATGTTGAATTGGCACCAAATTCCAAATGGCCCCCAGTGTAAACTTGGTTTAATAGGGTGCTTAACATTGACGTTATTACTCTTTGATACCAGGTTGATTAACATGACGCAACCATGACGATAAGATTCCAGAAATGAAAGCCTTATCA